CAGGGCTGCACTGGGGTAGGTCCATGTGGCTTCTCCTTGGGGATGTCTTGCAGAAAGTCAGCCTTACAAGCTGAAGCAGGGAACTGCTAAGGCACCTGCACCCTGGTCTGACCATCATAAAGCAAGAGACCTGAGAACTCAAAAGGCAAGACTCACTGAGCCATTTATCCCTCTGTCCTTCAATGAACCCCATGTGTGTTTATTGGCCAGGTTGGCGCAATAAACTAACTACTTCACATATTAAAAAACTGTTCAGCATGACCAAAGGGGTATATACCCCATGAATGTCAGAATGCTTCAAGATTAGAAAATCAATCAATGTAATAGGCACATTATTAGTACTACAGGAAAGAACCATGTGAACATCTCTATAGAGGAAAAAGTATCTAATTTTAGAAACTCAATATCTTATAATTAAAGGCCTAAAAAGAGAGGAATAGAAAGGGGATTCATCAACATAATAAAAAATATCCAAATATCTCACAAAACATTATACATTAATATTGAAAACATATTTAATACATTTTACAACAAATGGACAAATAATCAAATAAAAAACTGGGCAAAGAAATGTAATAAAAGAATATTTTAGCAAATAGGATATAAAAATAGCCCAAGGAAAAGTTATTCAAAATCCTTATCTTTTAGGAATATGTAAATAAAAACATAATTAGATATTTCACCTCCATTAGAATAGAATTTTTTTAAAAATTAAATAACAAATGGTGTTTTCAAGGTTGAAAATAAATCAAACACACACTCATTGCTGTTGAGAATATAAAATGATGCAACCATTGTATAAAAAAGTTTTGCAGTTCCTCAAAAAGTTCAATGTAGAATAAACAACCCACAAATTCCAATCCTAGGTATAAGTACAGAAGAAATGAATGCAGGAACACAAAGCAGAAACCTGTACATTAACATTGATTACAACATTTTCCACAACAGACAAAAGATGAACATAATAAAACATCCATGAATAGATGAATGGATAAACAAAATTTCAAATATACACATAAAGAAATACCACTCAGCCATAAAGATAAATCAAATTAAGAACACAATTTGAAACTATTAAACAGAATAAAATAATTCAGTCACAAAATAACAAATACTTTATGTCATTTATATGGAAGGAGGAAATTTGTAGAAACCAAAGTGTTTATGAGATTGTTTGTCTTTTATTAATTGATTTACATATGTTTGCTTAGAAGCAATACCTGCGCTTCAGAAGTTTCTATTTATTGATAGTTTCTTATACTTCCAGTGTCTGACAAATCAGTCAAGTTTAATATAGTTAAACTTATCATTATTCAGATTTTTTATTATTATGCTAGTTTGCTTAATTTAAGAAATATTAGTAACCACAACATCATGAAGATATACAACAATGTTTTTTTCTGGAAATTTAATTGCTTTAAAATACTGCATTTTAGCGAGCTTATTTTGGGACATGGCATGAAGTGGCATTCTGGTTACATGTGCTGCTCTCCACAATGTTAGCAGTTCAAAACCACCAACCAATTTACAGGAGAAAGAAGAGGCTTTCTACTCCTGTTAAGAGTTACGGTCTCAGAAACCCACACTAGCAGTTTCACCCTGTCCCAAAGAGAAACTAGGAGTCAGAACTGACTCATGGGTTTTGTGAGGTGTTTTTTGTTTGTTTGTTTGTTTGTTTTTCTATGAATACTAGATTTTTCAAGTATCATCTTTAAAAAAAGCCATTTCCTCATCTCTGAAGAATCATTACTATCATAAATTATGTTCATATTTATAATAGTTTTAATTCCAAATTTTTTGTTCAATTAATTGATCTCTGCATCAGTACAAAAGCCACTGTAAAAGCATTATGTCCACAGCAACACCTCTCCTCAGCCAGTAACCAATTCTCCCTCCATTTTTCAACCTCTCAGCTACATGCTCCTCTGGGGCCAGAACGCCTGCTTTCACCTTGTTTCGAGCTCATCGTCTTGCCACTGCGCCCCTTTCTCTCTCTTGGTTTCCCTGCCTTGGTCTCTGGTCTTATTGCTCCGTCCTGTGCCTCTGGTCCTGGCCTACTTCACACAGTGATCCTGAATATGTTCTTTCGATAGAAGAATGGCTTTTCTGAAGGGATGTTTTTTGTCTTTTAACAGACTATACAACCAAGGAAAGAAAGAGTGTGACTCGCTTCACATCTTCTAATACAACTCTGAACCAAATTCATTGCTGTCCAGTCATTTTGGACTCAGAGCGATCCTATAGAACAGAGTAGATCCATCCTGGTAGATGTCTGAGACTGAAAAAATCTCTATGGGAGTAGAAAGTCTCTTGTGTCTACTGTGGAGAGGGTGGTAGTGCTGAATTGCTGAACCTGAGGTTGCTCTACTATAGTCAGGATTTGATCCCACCTTAATCGTGTCCATTAAGTTAAAGAACTCCCTCAAAATGAAATTAGAGCCACAGACGCAGAGTTAAGAGTTACAATACATCACATAATGGATAATGGCTAGAAGGACAATATTAATTGACTAAATTTCATCTTTATATGTAAAGTTTTTGAGAAAAGACCTTGCAAATTGTCAGCAGAGTATTTTTGTTTATAGCTTGATGCTATTGTAAATTATATATTTTAAAAACCTCTAGTAGATATTTTCTTTTATAATGGATAAAATGATATTTATTCTCAGCATTAATAATGCTAAGAGCTTATATGCAAATTAAATGTATACAATGTTTGTTATTAATAAAATGATTTTACATGTTGTAGTGAAATATGTAGAATCAGTCAGCATTGCAATTTCCATGACTCCCCTTTGAATTCAGAATAAAAACAATTAACACTTCATCATTATTTATGATATCTGTGTATTGTTAGTGCTACCCTTTATCAAAATAAAATCACTATTACCATTTCAACTTAAATCATAATTTTAAAAGTAGGAATAGATGTTGAATTGCATCAAAATTTTTTCCACCTTGTAAATATATTTGTTATTTTTATTATAATACACGTTTATTAGAATTCAACAATTATTTATCAGGTTTAGTTTTTTAAATTATATAATCAATTCAATATATTTAAAATTATTTATTATTTCTTTTGTAAATTTATGAAAGTTTTGTTTGGGGAACATGTCATTTTTTGACAACATTTCTAATTATATGAGTATCTTACTTATATATATATTTATGTAATGATAAATAAATAGCAAATATGCTACTAAATAATTGCCAAATGAATAAACACTTTATTTTGCTCATCCAGGTTAAAGAAAAGAAACTTTTTTTTTCTCAAATAAATAACACCTTTTCTCTTATTTGATTGTTCTCACTGTTT